TGAAACCGTCATAAACGTGACGTAATCCCAGTCATGAAGATGAATGAGACTTCATGAATGCTTATGACTGTTGCTAGTAAGTGTGATTCTGTAAATAATGACACTTTTCATGCAAAATTGCATTAAAATGCATTAAAAGTGTCAACTTTGCATTATTTGGTAAATATTGACACTTTTAGAAGCAAAGTTGCATTAAACTTGCATCAAACGTTCATTACAATTTTCAGCTTTTCATTAGAAGTGTCATTATTTACAGAATCACACTTACTAGCAACAGTCATAAGCATTCATGAAGTCTCATTCATCTTCATGACTGGGATTACGTCACGTTTATGACGGTTTCATGTCAGTCTTATGCACACCCCGTCGAAGTTTTTAAAAATGTATTGCTGTGCATTTTTTAAACCATTTGCTACACTTCCTTTTTTTCTTAAATTTCCTTTAACTTTGTCCAAAACAACATCTCTGTGCTTTTTTCTGGGGTTGAGCTTAAGGGGAAGGGAGTAATGTAATTCTAGTTATAAAATCTGAAGAAGTATTTCATGACTAGAGTAAACGGTGGACACTACTTTATATTTTTCTAAATTTAAGATAAAGACCTCTTTCTAACTTGTGCATTCTCAAGAAAAAAAAGTTTTTTTTATTTTTAATTTCGCAATGCGCCATTCAACATTGGTATTCTCTCTCTAACCTTGCAGTTCCCGTCCAGTGGACGAAGTTTCCAGGAAATTCAGGCTCAGCTGAATGAGGTGGCAGCTGGCCTTAACCAGTCAGCCAATGAGGTGGTCCAGGCATCCAGAGGGACCACCCAGGACCTGGCCAGGGCTACCAGCAAGTTTGGACAAGACTTCAACACCTTCCTGGATGCTGGTGTTGACATGGCTGGAACCTCCCAGGTAGGATTAGATAAGACTGCCACAGAGGTCATTTTAGTTGAGTCACAATTTTGAGACAAATGATCCATAGTAGCAGGAGTATTTGATTACTAATAAGGAGATAGCAGAGAGCTATTAGAAAATATAGGAAAGAAGTCACAGGAAACCAAGCTAATGGAGCGCAAGCAAAGTGAGCAAATTTCAGCAAAGATTCTAACATGATATGGCAAGTAGTTGAACTCTGTGGCAGAGGAATGATGATACGTTATTATATATTAAACGCTCATTACTGAATTCATTTTTTTGGTCATCATCATGAGAAATGCCCTCTGTTAAATGGAAGCTGTTAATAAAACATCTGCCTGGGGGAAAAAAACGACTGAATTATTTCATACCATCAAAAATTTTTTTTACTATCCAGCAGACATGAAGAAACTGAGACTTTTCTGCTCTGCAGTGTCCAGTTATTTAGTCATTTTCTTATATAAATTTGGATTGTGGTTTTTAGTATTCCAAAAATGGCATCTTCTGTTTAGGGTTTTAAGAAGCAGGTAAGTTCACATTTATTCATTTTGGTTTTTAAAAACACTCTGATTGTTGTTATCATGTGTGGCTTAAGCGTTCATAAAACTGGTCAAACTTCTGATTTAAATTCTCCTGAACATTCAGCAGTTTTATTCAAGAAGAAACATTTAGTGCTCTAACTGAATTCAAACTTTTAGCCTTTCTTGTCTCTTGTAGTCCAAAGAGGATCAGACACAGGTAGTGTCCAACCTGAAAACTATCTCTATGTCATCAAGCAAGCTGCTGCTTGCAGCCAAGGCTCTGTCCACCGACCCCAGCTCACCCAACCTGAAGAACCAGCTAGCAGCAGCAGCTCGGTGAGAAATCCTCTCCCCCTTTGTAAGACTGTGCCTTTTCCATAGCTAGTCTATACTTAACATGTGTGAGTCTTTATGTCTCCAGGGCAGTTACAGACAGCATCAACCAGCTCATCACCATGTGCACTCAGCAGGCTCCAGGTCAGAAGGAGTGTGACAACGCTCTCAGAGAGCTGGAGGTAACATCTGTTATGCTAGAGCTGCCATTCACGATTCTCCATATAACGTTATACTATAAAGCATCAAGTCTGGTTTTTAGTTTATTTTTCACATTGTAACTTTCAGTTCAGATATCAGAAGATTAGAAACAGGGGTAATATGTGGCCATTGTGACTCATGTGACCCGCAGCATATCTTTCTTAGGCTGTTACCTTGCCAAGTATGTTGGCATGTCTAAAACTGTTTTTGGAGCTATCATGGACCAAACATGCAGAAATGGAGCTCCTTTTACAAAACATCAAATGCATTCTTGTCTATCTTTTTATGTTTATGATTTGTGCCTCTTGTATTTATCCTACGTTTATTGGTGTAAAAATTCAGTGTGCTACAACATCAGCAAAAAGAAGCACTTGGTTGCAGTAGGATTTTTTTTTCATACTTACTGGTTGTCTGATCATCTGGGGTGAAAGTTGTTCTTTCAAACCATACATTCATTAGATATGCAGAAAAGTTATACTGAAGTCCAGGAATGGGTTAGTTCATGCTTCTTGGGGTATAAGAACGTTAAAATATAATAAAGCATATATATATATAAAGCATTTTATTGTATTAAATACAATAAAAACCGATC